CCATCCCTCATGGTAGCGCCTCGGGTCCTTCTCTCCGCTTGAGGGGCACCCAGCCCGCGTCACGAAGAGAGGAATCCCACGGGGCAGCTGAACCAGCCGTGGGAGCCTACCTCTTCCACACTACCGGATCGGGGATCGTGTGCGTGCTGTGCACCAAACCTGCGTGTGCGGCTTTCCCCACACCCGCTTAGGCCTGGTTGTTTTTTTTTTCCTCCTCTCAGCTGATCGTTGGAGGCTTTTTAAAAAACTACCGTTTCGGCAGAACCAGGGTGGGTAGAAGAAAGAAAAAAAGGAGGAGGAGGAGGAAAAAAATCTTCCATCTTGATGCCCGTGGGAGTTTTCCTTAGGAATAACTCAAGACAGGTGGACTTCAACTCCCAGAATTCTCCAGCCAGGATCTGTGGGTTTCCTGTTTGAGCAGGGGTTGGACTAGAAGACCTTCGAAGGTCCTTCCAACTCTTGCTATTCTGACTTCAACTCCCAGAATTCCCCAGACAGTGTCCTTTGAGATGGACCAGCCCACAAGGGGAGGTGGGGGAATTCCCTACGCCAATATCTGATGGAGCGTGAGACTTTTATTTGATAGTTCGCTACTTTTGAGATCCAGGAAGATCAGCCGTGCCGGCTTGGGAATTCTGGGAGTTGGAAGTCCACCCATCTCAAAGTTGCCAAAGGATGGAGAAATACTTTAAAAAGACCTAGCTGGGCTGGTTGAAATATAAATCGCCACCAGGGAGCGATGGAGGGATTCAAACCATCCAAATTTACTCTTTGGTGCCCCCCACTGTCACTCTGGAGCATTGCAGCACAGACAATTGTCGATTGTCCACTACTTCACCAAATGCGAGCTCCGTGACGGGCCTGGAGGCATCGGAGGAAGAAGGAAGAGAAAAACAGGACAAGAAAAAAGAAATGAGTTGAGGATCCTCCAAGCAGAGAGCGCGCCTGTGTTAAAGAGGAAACGGGGAAATATTTTTTTTTTGATGCATTCTGTTTTTGAAAGAGGGGTGAGGAAAGGAGAGGAAAAGAGGAATTATGGATAAACTGGTACAAACTCAACCAGGTTTTTTTGTGTGTGTGTGTGTTGCCCTTAAAAGAGAATGATGAGAAGGCTAGATGAAGGAAGGAAGGAAGGAAGGAAGGAAGGAAGGAAGGAAGGAAGGAAGGAAGGAAGAAAAGAGGGAAGGAAGGAAGGAAGGAAGGAAGGAAGGAAGGAAGGAAGGAAGACAGGGAGGGAAAGAAGGGAGGGAGGAGACAGAGAGAAAGGGAGGGAGGGAAGATAGGAAGGAAGGAAGGAAAGAAAGGGAAGGGAAGGAAGGAGACAGGGAAGAAGGGAAGGAAGGAAGGAAGGAAGGAAGGAAGGAAGGAAGGAAGGAAGGAAGGAAGGAAGGAAGGAGACAGGGAGGGAAAGAAGGGAGGGAGGAGACAGAGAGAAAGGGAGGGAGGGAAGATAGGAAGGAAGGAAGGAAGGAAAGAAAGGGAAGGGAAGGAAGGAGACAGGAAAGAAGGGAAGGAAGGAAGGAAGAAAGGAAGGAAGGAAGGAAGGAAGGAAGGAAGGAAGGAAGGAAGGAAGGAAGGAAGGAAGGAGAGATGGCTCAATTCTGAATGGCTGCTGGTCGAAGGAATGGAAGGAACGCGTGGGGGAAATGCAACGAAGAAAGGATGAACTAAACGGGAAAGAGGTTCTTTGGGCAGGCACTTCCTCGCTGCATGTCCGTAGCCTCCCAAAATTTATTTCCTTTCTAAGTAACGGCCCTTGGACAAGTCCTAGAAGGAGTTGCAATGGATAGTATGCTTCTAAAAGAGAGGGGGGGGGGGGGGGAAAAAGGGGGGGGGAAAAAAAAGAGAGAATTTAAACTCTAGATTGGGGTGGGTAGGAAGGGCCTCCTCCAACAGGCATCGGGGCACGTAGGTCCTGGCCCACCGCTCGCAAAGGGAGAAGGAACAAACCCCAATGGTTAAGGTCCACAAATGAAGATACCTTTGTCTTCATGTACGGTCGATCCCTACTTTGTTATTGTGCAGTAGTATCACTGTGGTATCTGTTTTAACTCTGGTTTCATCTCTCAGTAGATGAAAGACTCATTCCCTCTTTCCAGGATTGTGAGAAGAACAAAAGGCTGGGCTACACATTCCTTCAGCACCAGAAGATCCTTGCTAGCCACCAAGGTCCATGGGAGAAGTCATCCTAAGGGGGTGCTGTGGTTCGCCGGCAGCAGGTGTGGACGGCTGAGGTCTCGGAGAGCGAGGACTCGGATGAGGGGCCTGTGTAGGATGCAGGGATGGGGTGAGGACCATCAGGGAGTGGAGTGCGGCCTTCGGAGATTGTGGAGGCTGGCAGCAGTGAGGAAGAGTCCCCCGAGGAGACGGTGCCCAGTGTGCATGCGCGCAGGGCTGCTCGAAGGAAAGAGCAGCTGCAGCAGCACGGGTGACTCAGGAGTAAGGCTGCAAGGTAATGGCTCCTCCCTTAAGAGATAGAAGCCAGCGGAGAAACTGGAGTTCTTTGCAGGAAGCAAAGACGTTTTTGCACTCGAGCCTTGTGGACGTTTGGATTATCTTGGTTGGTGTTTGGAGACTCTTTCTGTTTGAAATATTTCTTGGCAACTTTATCTCGTGTTCTTGGCAGCCTCGCACCACCTTGGCAAGGCTCCTTCTTATCAGAGACCATTAGTTTGAAACAGCCTTTTAAGCACTGTTGACCTCAAAAGTGATAGTTAGCCTGAGGGCCCAGCCAATGTTCAAATGAAGGTATTTATTTCAGATTGAAGGGAGGAGGGGGGCAGAAGAGCAGATTCAAAGCATCTGATCCCATTTTTTGGCGGGGGGGGGAGGTGACGGTAGATTTTTGGTGAGATTTTGAGAACTTCGTCTCGACAGATTTCAGGGCGACGCCGCAGTCTTTGGCTAGCCGTTTTACATAGTATTCCTATTATGCCATTTTTAAAGACTTTTCTTTCCCCTTTTTGTGTTATTTTCAGTGAATTTTTTTTTTTTAAAAAGGAACGCAGCCTTCTAAATGCAGAAAGCTGCGCTTCCAAAGTAGAAGAATGAAGAGGCAGGAAGATAATCCAGATTGGGAGGAAAAAATATATATATATCTGTTTTCACGAAAAGGTTCTTTCGTCTTTTCCTTCCACGTCCTCTTCCTTTTTCCAATCCAACGAGACCCTGCTGGCTTTTTTAAATTTTCGTGAAAAAAAAAAAATTAAATAAATCCAATTTTTACAGCACGGATCGCTTTGTGCCAAGTAGAGCGAGGGAGGCCTGCTGACCGCAGCCGTCCAAGAGAAGGAAGCTGAAGAGGCCTCAAAACAGTTTTTCCCAAACGGAGTCCCAGAAAATTTCGGGAAGCCGCAAATCCCAGGCTATTTGGAACAATCCACGTTACGAAGGACAACTCGGGGCTGTTAAGGTGTGGGAAGCGCAAGAAAAGAGTTCGTTCGCGCGGAGAAAACGCTATAGAAGACTTGTAGTTAAAACTTCTGGAAACCGGGATCTTTCTACACAGGGAGGAGGAGTGACAAGCCCAAATACAAGAGGGGGAAATATAATTAATAATAATCAAAACTCTTTGGGTGAAGTTTAGGGAGCTGCAAATTTGGGACGTGTGTGTGTTTCTGCTCACGATGCCTACGCAGGGAAGGATGAGGAGGTGGAAGTCAACCAGGGGTACATATCAGCCAAAAACGGCGCAACGTGTCAAAAACCAAGTGAAACAAGCAACACACAAGCCAAAATGGCGGTCAGGCCACTGTACAAAGCAGATAAGTTCGAAAGGAAAAAGAGTTTAGATTAAAGCGTTTTCAGCATCCAGAGAATCACGCTGGAAAACCTGCCAGTCAGTAAAGAAACCAAGGAGATATCCAGATGTGCCAGATCTTAAAGAGGGAACCTTTGTAGATGGTCCACCACCCCCGCTCCCCCAAAATGGAGCGTCTACTCCATCATAGCTGGGATCCTCAACTCTCCAAATTTCGAACTCAGAACTAAGGAGCAATTTCCTGACAGGAAGGACAATCAACCAGTGGATTCTTGACCTGTCTCCAGAAGTTGCGGGCGCTTCAACCCTGGAAGTTTTTAAAAAGGAGAGACTGGACAGCCAGGTGTGTCCAGAATGATATTGGGTCGCTTGCTTGAACTGGGGGTTGGACTAGAAGACCTCGGCGATCCCTTCCAGCTCTCGTCTTCTGTTATTACATTTCATTTATTACATTCCTATGCTGCTCCTACAAAGTGACTGGGTGGATTACAAACTCTATGTATATCATTCCCCCCACCCCACCCCCCCACTCCGCTTATTATAAATTTATATTCTCCAAAGCCCCTGAAGAAGGCAGGACAAGACGCAACGGACGGAAACTCATCCAGGAGAGAAGCGACCTTTCGAACTAAGCAGGAATTTCCTGAAAATGAGAACAATGAATCAGTAGAACAAATTGCCTCCAGAAATTGTAAATGCTCCAACGCTGGAAGTTTTTAAAAAGATGTTGGATAACCATTTTGTCCGAAGTGGTGTAGGGTTTCCTGCCTAGGCAGCGGGTTGGACTAGATGACCTCCAAGGACCCTCCCAACTCTCTTCTTCTGTTATTCTAGTTTATTTCTTACATTCTTATGCCACTGATCCCACCTAAAAGGTGATGCTGGCATATTACAAACTCTTATGTATTATCTTCCACCCTGCTTATTATAAATTCATTTGTATGGAAATTTTCCAGGTAGGGGGGACTTTTTTAATTGCCGGAATTCCCTGTTATTCTAGGTTTTGTAACATCAAGTCGAGAACATCCAGCCTGAATCCCAAAGAGCATCAGAGGTTCCACACTTTTAACTACTTATGGGAAGGGATGCAAACGGGAAAATATTCTTTTTCGTCCACCAAAATCTCTACTAAATACTCTTTTTTAAAAAAAAAAAAAACTCGTAAAAAGAACGAAACTTTCAAGGGGTTTCCCAGGGAACGGAGGAGAAAGGAAAAGGCTTTTTTTTTTTAAAAAAAAACAATGTTATTGGTGTGCCACTTTTTTCTTTTCAAAAGAAACCGCTGATAGGAAGAAATCTCATTTGGTGTTTAAAAAGCTTTACTCCCTTCAAAGGGCGGGGGAAAAAAAAAAGAGATTTACAAAATAAAACAAAACGAAACCAGCCTGCATAAACTCTCGAGAGAAGGGTGCCTTTTTCTTTTCCTTTTCTGACAATATTCATCCAAATATCACACTATTTAATTCCCCAATACAACTTTGGGGGGGCGGGTGGGGGGTGGGAAAAAGTGCCTACAGCCTTCTTTTATCTAACACTTTTTGCTACATATAAAATTTCAAAGCTCATTAATAGCAATCTTAATGGTACCAACCCTTCTAGAACAGTTAAGATTATATACACATTTGAGGGGTGGGAGAGGGGTGTGTGTGTGTGGGGGGGGGGGGGGGGGGGGGTAGGGATATTAACAAACAGAATATTACAAAGTATTAAAGAAGGCAACTCTTGTTCTTTCTTCCGGCGAGTTTTTCGGCTTCACTTGAAGTTGGCGTAATCTGAAAAGGCATCTATATATTCCTGGACTACCTTGTAGCAGAATTCGTACTGTTCCTGGGGATTAGACAGAAGAGAAAGCGGTGGTGAGTGATGGAACAAAACCAGGGGATTCCCCCCCCCCAAAAGATCTTCGGACGAACCCGGGAGCTTCCCAGAATCCAAGAATTTGGGGGAAATTCATTGTCAGGCCCCTGTGGGAATCTGATTCTGAGGGAGAGGCTGAGCAGCTGATTTGGGAGTGGGAGCGTGGCTCTGGTGGCTGTGGAGGAAACTGGGGAAGGGCACAGGCCGTCCCCTTTTCATCCTAGGGCACGCAGGGAGGAACGGAGAAGGGAGCAAACTGGCTTTCGGGAGAGAAAAGGGCCCTGATCCCTTTTCATGAGTTGCAGCTGGGGGAACAGGATGTAAGTGGGGCATTTGCACACAGCTCCTTGCTGGAAGCAAAGCGTGCATTATCTCGGTCGAGGCTTATCTGGGTTTTTGGCGTCCTCCCAACTGTGGGTGCTGCGTTATCTTGGGGAAGACTGCAATTTATCATCCTGGCCTGCCGTGTTAATGACTTCAGAGCGGTTTGTGTAGTTTTTTTTTTTAAAAATTAGTAATTATCTTTACTTTGGGTTCAGACTGCATTTCTGCCCTTCATAGACTGTTTTTGGAAGAGTTTGAACTCCAGCTGAGGATAACTGGACATTGGGGGCCAAGTTGGAGACATTAAAGTCTACTTTTGTGACTTTGTTACTTTAGGGTCACGCCCCTGGGTCATCATGTTCACCCAGAGAGAAGTCACCGACTAAAGTGACTATGCGCTCAGAGCTCGAAGCATCGTTAGAGACGTCCCCTCTCCCTTCATGGCCTGTTTCTCTGGCTCCCCTCGGGGTGGAGGTTTTGAAGTATCTATGACAGGACTTCCAGATTCTCTAACCGCTTTCATTCCTTAGGCCAGCCATATTGGTAAGCTCGCGGGATTCTCCTTTTTTTTTTTAACTGCCGTGAACGCCGACATGTCAACTCCTAATAAATCAATTTTTTTTTGCTCTGAGACTTATGATTTGAATGGGGGTGGATTTATCAGAGCCCTGACAAAAGGTGGATCCGCTTAAGGACCCAGTTGGTTTGCTTAACGGCTGTGGAAAAGGGCTGCACCATGAGGTGAGGTCACCTGACGCCTCATTTAATGACCACGTCGCTCGGCGGTGATTGTAAGCCGAGGACTTCCTGCAGCTCAAAGAGAAAAAAAATGTAGACATGCGAAGTCAGTAGGGGAAGGGGGATCCAATTAATGACCCAGGGAGTCGCTTAACGACTAGGGCAAAAAAAGGTTGTAAAATCAGGTTTGGTCACAGGGTGATTCACTTAAGGACCTCGCTGCTCAGTGGTGGTCATAAGTCGAGAACTAGCTATATCTCAAAGGAAGAAGTAGATGAATAAAAACCGGCTCACAAAGGACCACTGGCTATGCCCCTGATGGTGAACCTATGGCACATGTGCCACGCATAGCCATTTGTGCGAGCTGCAGGCAAACTTACCTCACTGCACATGCGCGCGCCTCACAGCTGATTTTCGGCGGGTTTGAGGCTTTTTTTGGCCTCCCAGAGGAAATACTGGTGACAAAATGGGCCTAGTTTTTGGCCTGCAAAGCCTGCAGAAGCCTTCCTCAAGCCTCTGGGAGGCCGAAAAAAGGCCTCAAACCCGCTGAAAATCAGCTGCGAAGCGCAGTGCAAGTAAGGAGGTAGTGAGGGTGGGTATTGTGCGCACATGCACAGTGGGCGTGGGCGGGGGGCACACGTTGCCTTCTGGGTGCTGGCGCGCAAGCACATGAAAGCGTGAGCACAATTTTTGGCACAGGAGCCCCAAAAGGGTAGCCACAAACTGGCCGATGCAGGCGAGAATTTCTCGTCCATTACAGATAGACCTCGACTTATGACCACAATGGAGTTCCCGTTGCTAAGTGAAACGGTTGCAAAGTGAGCTTTGCCCCGTTTCATGGCCTCTCTCGCCTCCGTCGTTAAGTGAATTGTTGCGGTTGTTAAGTTAGTGACACGGTTTTTTTTTTTCCGTGAATCCATCTTCCCCCTCGACTTTGATGGTCAGGAGGTCGCCAAAAGGGGAAATCACGGGACTCCTGGGATGCTAAAACAGGCATTAAGTACATGCCAGTTGCCAAGCATCCAGATTTTGATCCCATCGTGGTAAGCATTTAAATTGTGATCGTGGGACCAGGGAGATGCAGTAACAGTGGTTAAGTGTGAACAAAAAAATACTCATTGGTCACTTTTTCCCCCGTTGGTGTTATCTGTCAACTAAAAGATACATACTTCTTCGGTCTTTTTAATTGCCAGCAGAAAGGGAGGGAGGAAAGCAGTGCATTCCTTAAATGCTCCAGATAATTGCTAGGCAGCCGAAGCTGTTGGCGCACAAGATTATTACTGGAGAGCATGACTGATGACTCTTGACTATGGATGTGTCCCATTGGAGAATATACATCCAGGGGGTGGGGGGGAAGACCAGGGTCAAGGGGGAAATGAATGATGTGTCTTAGTGTCGGCTGCACCCAGGGAACGCCGACATGTCAACTCCTAATAAATCAATATTTATTTATTTAGATGCGGCTAGAGACTTATGATTTGAATGGGGGTAGATTTGTTGGAGCCCTAATATTATCACGTCATGTGGTCGCTAAAAGAAACCACTGTAAGTAGAGGACGACCTTTACTAAGCTTCGCGGTCCCGTCCCCCCTGTGCTGTGGTTCGCCGGCAGCAGGTGTGGACGGCTGAGGTCTCGGAGAGCGAAGACTTGATGCAGGGATGGGGCCAGGACCATCAGGGAGGGGAATGCGGCCTTTGGAGATTGTGGAGGCTGGCAGCAGCGATGAAGAGCACCCCGAGGAGCCTGTGCTCAGGGTGCGTGTGCACAGGGCTGCTTGAAGGAAAGAGCAGCTGCAGCAGCACGGGCAACTCGGGAGTAAGGCTGCAAGGTGATGGCTCCTTCCATAAGGGATAAAAGCCAGCGGAGAAACCGGAGTTCTTTGCAGGAAGCAAAGACGTTTTTGCACTCAAGCCTTGTGGACGTTCGGAATACCTTGGTTTGTGTTTGGAGACTCTTTGGGTTTGAAATATTTCTTGGCAACTTTATCCAGTGTTCTTGGCAGCCTCGCACCACCTTGGCAAGGCTCGTTCTTATCAGAGACTATTAGTTTGAAACAGCCTTTTCACCGGGAAGTAGAATGGGATTCGCAGAGAAGCATTCAAAGGTTTTGCTTTTAATCTCTTGTTTGTTGTTTGTTTCCTTGGAACCAGGTTTGGGTCAGAACACCCTGGCGGGCCGAGTCTTACCAGTGTTTGCACCATGTGCGGCCTCTGTAACCTCAAGCTCTTCACCGTCTGAAAGACGTCCAGAATTCCTTCCGCCTTGACCCTTTCGAGGACGGTGCCCAACGCGCAAAAAGTCCCCGTCCGACCAGCTCCAGCACTGTGTGAAGGAATGCAAAGAGGAGATCAAACGGAGTCCTTCCTTCTCTGCAACTTACAGGGAGACGAGAGCTCGAAAGGTCTACTCAATGGTTGTGGGCGTGGTGGAGAAAACGAGCTTCTCCGTTGAAGGAAGAAGGGTTGGGTCCAGTAGCGCAGGGTTTGCCAACCTTTCGGACCTCGGGGACCACCGCACTCATAATTTTAAATCCCGCGGACCACTAATACGGATTTTGACTGACGGTGGCTTGCGGACGTTGGTGGGAAGGTCGGTCCCGTATTCCAGAGCTGCAGGAGTCACAGGACTGGCCCCTTTGGTCATCCCGGAGTAGCTGCTCCTCCACCCGGGTGCGCCGGCCTGCCATGGACTGGAGGAGCTGCTCCGGGGTGACCAAAGGGCCAGTCCTGTGACTCCTGCAGCTCTGGAATACGGGACCGACTTTCCCACCAACGTCAGTAAACCACCCCGGGGCGGATTGTCCCTCCCTCCACCTCGTTGGTCTTACCTTCCAGTTCCCAGCTCGCGTGGCTCTACTCAAGGTAAGGTTTGCGCTTGGAGACAGCATGTGGGGGGTGCGGCCTTGTGTTTCCCACACAGCCTGGATTAATTGCTTTGGGGGGGGGGAAACGACATTGCTCTGCGGACCACCCAAATTTTCTCATGGACCACCAGTGGTGCCCGGCCCACTGGTTGCCGACCGCTGCAGTAGTGGGGTCCTACCTTGGTCGCTACCGATTGGGCAGGTGATTGGGCTTGCGCGCACGCCCCTAACATGCGCGCACAGGTGTGTTTCTAATGCACCGATCAGCCGAGAGGAGGATGAAACGAAAAGCTCGGAGTGACCC